TATTTAAAAAGGGGGGGAAAATTGGGCCTCCAAGGCGAAAGCGCACTAGCCGCACAGGGCCCCTAGGCGTGCCTATGCGCGCTTTAAGCAGTTAACGAGCGGTCAACATTGTCGTTGATCGCTTAATTACCACTTAGTCTCAAAGCGAGGCATTTTCATCAAGTTTCGTGCCTAGACAAGCTTTTTAGAATAGAGCAAAAAGTCATAATACGTAAGTAAACATGTCATAACATTTAATAATGTAATAAAAATTAAAACTTCATAAATAAGTAAACATGTTTAAAGCGTAGCTTAATTAAAAAAAAAACAAAAATAAAATTATAGGTTGGTTTTAAAGTAATCCTTTAAATAAGTTGACTGTAGCTCTCCCCACCAGACTCATTCAACTCTTCCTCATTCAAACCCAGTTTGATTCATCGTTAATTCTAGCGTTATCAATCAAATTTTGGATTTACTCTATTAATGAACATATTAAAACGGTATTTCGATCAAGTTATGCCAGATATTGTCCATGAAAAACTTAATTTACTGCCACCAGCAGCTGCCGCTGGTGGCAGCAGAGGTGGGGAGGAGTCCAGTGTCGTCATTTTCAACAAATACGAGCTAGGGCAGCTCCTGGGATATGGGGCCTTCGCGAAGGTCTACCATGCACGAGATGTGCGTACTGGCCAGAGTGTGGCGATCAAAGTCGTAGACAAGGAGTGGATCCTCAAGGAAAACCTCAAGGAGAATGTCATAAGGGAGATCTCTATCATGTGCTGGCTGCGCCATCCCCATATCGTACACCTTCACGAGGTTTTGGCGACCAAGACTCGAATATACTACGTAATGGAGTATGCCAAAGGTGGAGCATTTTTAAAAAAATCGTGAAAGGCAGATTTAGCGAGGACCTCAGTCGCAAATACTTCCAGCAATTGATATCTGCAGTTGGTCATTGTCACTCTCGCGGCGTTTTCCACCGCGATTTGAAACCGAAAAACCTGCTGTTGGACGAGAATTTGGAACTCAAGGTTACAGATTTCGGGCTCAGTGCATTGACAAATCAGATCCGACCCGATGACCGACTACATACCACTTGCGGAACTCCCGCCTACATGGCGCCGAAAATTCTCGCATAAAGGGGATATTGTAGGAGATATTACACCGATAATGTGCATATTGTATTCTAATCAATACATACTGTTTCATACTCACGAAATCGAAATAGAATTCAACTAACCAATATGGATTATGAGAAGACAAT